GGATACCCCCCCTACCCCCACCCTCCCCCCGCGTTTTGGGGCTGTAAGGGAGAAAGAGGGTTTTCACCCTCTCCGCCTTCGGCAACCATCCAACACGCCCCCCAAGGTCGGCGGACCTTAAACCCTAAACCCTAAATCCTAAACCCTAAAGCACCCATCCATTCCAGGAGTGGAGTGGCTACTACGCCCGAGGCGGGTCAGCAGCTGCTTTTCCATCCAAGCCAAGCTCTCCTCCAGGATGTTAGAAGTAGGATTTACGGTTTGGGGTTTAGGGTGTAGAGTTTAAGGGTTTAGGGGTTTAGTGTTGAGGGCTCTAGGGTTTAGGGTTTAGGGAATTAGCGTTTCGGGTGGGTTCGAGTCGTTTGAGGATTTCATTGAAATACCCGACATTTGGAATTCCAATTTGCAGAGTTCGCGTACTGTTGCTTTTTGTCTCAGGTTTGCAAGCGTCAGAATACAACGCTCTGAACCAAGCACCAAGAGACATGCTCTGAGCATCTGAAGCCGCAAGCAGGGTTTAGGGTGTAGGATGTAGGGTTGAGGATTTAGGATTTGGCGTTTAGGATTCAGGGTTGAGGGTTTATGGGCCTAGTTGTTAGGATTTAGGCCGTAGGGCTTGGGAATTAGCATTCAGGACTTAGGTTTCAGGGCCCAGGTTTCTTTTTCAGGGGCTAAGGTTAAGGTCCTGCATGATAAATTTACCTTATACCCTTTGAATACTGGTATTCTAATATGCTGAGGTCGTATGATGCAAATAGAAGACCCTAAATCACAACAGTGGGGCTTTAGTTGCCCCAACCCCCATTAACCGCTAGAGCATCCTACTTGTAGGGGTTGGGGTATAAGCCCCTGATCAAGTCAAGGTACAGGGAGGATTTAGGGTTTGGGGGTTTGAGGTCAGGCTTGTTTATTCAGCAACTAGTGCGCCATCAAGTCCAGACAGCAGTGCTGAAGATGTTGGGGCAGCAATGTCCCAAAAAACCAAACCCCAAACTCTAAACCCGAAACTGCCAACCAACAACAGGCTGCACTTGCATCCCAAAAGGGAACCTGTCAACTTTAGAGCCTTGTAGAGCCCCCAAGTACCCTCTTTGGAGACCCCATATTCACAAGTAGGACCTGTAATAAGCTGTCGTCTACACTCCTAGTATCCTTAATAACCCCTATAGTGCTCCCCAAAAAATTTCCTATATACCCCCCCTATAAGGAGTTTAGGCCATAGCTCGTATAGGTCCCTTTCTAGGGTACCTGAGGGGATCCTGCTTGTGGACCTCCTGACACAGCTCAACCTGAAACCATAACACCCCAATCCCTAAACGCGTCTCCCTAAACTCTGATCCCTACACCCTAAGCCCTAAGCTCTAAACCCAAAACTCCAAATCCCAATCCATAAGCCCTAAACCCAAAGCTCTGACCAGGTGGCTTCGGCTTCGGATCAACCCACAGCCTCTTGCCTCTGCTGGAAGTTTCCTGTAGAAATACGATACATACATTTTGGTGGAGTTTAGGGTTTAGGTGGGATTTGGGTTTAGGGTCTAGAAATAATTTTAAGATTCAGCGGAAACTGAAATTTCCACCGGCGCCCCAGGGAAACTTGGGTTTTGAACCCCTAAACCTTCAACCCCCAAACCCTAAACCCGGAGCTTCTAGACCTTAAGCCCTAAACCCTACACCTAACTCCAAGACCCGATTAGGAGGTTAAAGATTCAGGCCGGTCTGGCGACTGCTTAACCCTATACTGGCTTAAGTGAAAAACACTATAGGTGTAGGGTTTAGGGTTTAGAGGTTTAGGGTTTTAAGTTCATAGGTTTAGTGGTTAGGGTTCAGGGCTATAGACTTTTACCCCGAGTCCAAATACCCTCTAGATGAATATTCTTTCTCATTCATATATTTCCCCGAAAATTGTACCATTGTTATTATTTCCCAGTTGGCAATCATTAGCTACTCCGCCCCTTGGAACATTACGGCTTCAGGTCACTACAATCCACGATTTGGGTACTGGGACTCTCTATGCGGATGGGTGATTTGAGTTCTACCATCCTCCCAAGCGAGGGGTTTCTTGAATCAAGGGCTTTCTGTTGGTAGGAGTCCGTCCAGAAGCATGTGGGTTGTTCTCAAAATTATGGGCCTTTTTGTTATGGATTATACTACGGCACCTAATATTTAGGGGTACCAAATTGGACCTCAATTTTGGGAACTACCCATGTGGCTCCTGTGGGGTGAGACAGACCCATTGCTTCAGAAAGTGGGAGGGTTAACTCAGACCTGAGATTACTAAACCCCCTCCCATTAAGGGGTAGTACAATAGGGATCCTAATATTAAGGCCCTTACCAGAAAGGGCTTATTAATCAGAGGTCTACATTAGGGTTTAGGGTAGTTTATGGGCTTAGGATTTAGGGTAGTACTTAGGTGGCAGTAGAGAATACAGTTGAGTATGGGTCCACATGATTTGTGTCACATGACTTGCAATTGGCAGCAAGGTGGGCAGTCAAGACTACTGTATCACAGACTCGGCCCATAATGCACATGCGATTGAGCCAGGGACATGAGCCTCATCATAGCTATGTTGGCATTGAAGCGCATTACCGCCGTACAGTTGTTGCCCGAAACCCTGAAGCATAAAACCTAAACTTTGTCATCCGAAGCCCAAAATCCCAAACCCTGGAATTTCTAAACTCTACTTGCTTTAGTAACTTGAGCTATAGTCTAAACTCCTAGTATCCCCTTTAGTAAGCCCTATAGTAGTCCGCTTTATACTCCCCTGTATAACCCCCTTTAAGAAGTTTAAGACTGTAGTTCATCGGAATCCTAAAGCCTGGACCCGAAATTCCAAGCTGCGCAGCCTCAAGCCCTAAACCTTAAGCCCTAAGCATCTCTAAGCGTATCACAACCCCTAATATGATCCCTTAGGGTTTAGGGTTTAGGGTTTAGGAGTCCTAAATAACCCCTATATTACCCCTAACATAATCCCTATATAACCCCATATAAAGTAATCCTGAGGGAATGAATTCTCAGGTGCGCCATGGATGAGAGTGTAGCCCAGTAGCCCTGAGTCAGCTCAGAAAAGAGCTCGCCCGAACTGTCAAAAAAGCCGGCTATTGGATTAGCTTGGGGATTACAGTTTCTGGCAGGGTGCATGGTTTGGGCGTCTGAAGGTTTGGGAATTGGGGCTTGGGTTCAAGTTGAAAGTTTGGGGTTGGGGATGCGCAGTTTAGGGCTTGTTTAGAGTTTGAGGCTCACGGGCTTTGGCTTTAGGACTTGGGGCGGGCGACCTCAGCCTCAACCAAAAAGTCTGCTTTATAAAGAAGTGGCACCAACTAGCTAAATTGAATCAGCTAACCCTAAACCGTCTACTCTACGTCTACGTGATTCCTGCATACCTGGGAACCCCAAACTCCACGTCTGCGGGTATAGGATTTGGGGTCTGTATTCAGACCCATGGCCAGCTACAAGTACATTCCAAGGACCCAAATATTCCCTTGATCGCAATACAATGGCACTATACTGCGCATCGTTTCTTGTTAGGCGGGTGGG